AGTTCAGTAGGTTATTATGGCTGCTGCAAAAGTAAGTCGCAGATATAAACTATTTAATACACTTCTAACAGTAAGACTGCAAATCCTATCAAACAGAGATAGATGATTCCATGCAATTATTTGAAGACATGTTCATTTAGTGTTCGAACGCACAATTATGGATAAAAGGGGTTCAATGTAGTTCTGAAATAAAATAAAATAAAAACCTAAAGAGATAAAATTACACCCCTCTGAAAAAAAAAAATTGTCCTTTGTCCAAGAAGTGAATATTCAAGTGAATGAATATTCACACCCAACTTTCTTACGTTCTTAATAAACAGTGCTTTCTAATATAAATCAACTCTACCTTCTGTTGTGCATTTTCAACACAGAATTGATGGTCTGCGCCAGAAATTGGAGACTCAGGGCCTGAGAGACGTGGTTTACATGGTCATCAACCACCAGGGGGAGCAAGCCCAGCGGCTCCACTCCCTGCTGGCTGAGAGGCTGTCAGATAAGATCTCACTGTACAAACAGAGTGAACAACAACCTGATGTTTGGCAGGCCCTGAATGGAAAGAAAGATGACTTCATCATCTATGACAGGTTTGTTATGTGCTTTAAATGTATTTTACAGAGTGGAGGAGTTTGGAGTTAAACACTATCCCTTGTCTCACAATGTTTTTTTTTATCTCTGTAACCTTAGGTGCGGCCGTCTTACCCACCATATTTCCCTTCCTTATTCTGTTATTGGACATGGCCATATTGAGAGTGCAATCAAAGAAGCCTACTGCAATCGCAAGTGTGGCGCCTGCTCACATGAGGTAAAAGAGGTGAAATGACTTCACTGTAACATGTTTGTGAGTACTGGAAATGAAAAATACAACCCTTTTTGCATTCTCTGACTTTTTTTTCAGACTGCTGAGACTCCAGAGGAATGCAGAGCAACACCAAATGCACAGCCTGATGCAGATACACCTGCAGCTGTAGGAGACAACACAGAACCTGACCACAGTCGCCATCATGGTCATGGCCATCATGGTCAGCATGGTCATCATGGTCATCACCATAGGCACCACGGTCATCATCATGGTCATCACCATGGCGATGGCTTTGCCTCTGACTTGGATCCAAGGCAGCAGGGGGTTAGGCAGGATCATGGTCAGCATGGCTTTGACTCACCGCAGTTACAGCAAGCAGTGGACACAGAGCAGTTATTACAGGAGGCTGTAGCAGCCCCTGTTAGGCCATGAGTGGCAGAAAAGAGAAGTTGAAAGTCACAGTTCATCTGACAGGGAACAGCAGGCTCCGAAAATGAAACTGCTCCCAAAGCCATCTGATGCTGACACTGACGCAGGATGTTTGGCGAGGCGGGAAGCGAACAGTCGCTCGGGCTCTGACACTGTGAAGGGGGGCTCCCGGCCTCCTGACAGTGACAGGGCCTCACGAGCGAGGCAGCCGCCAATGTCAGGGAGACCTGACAGTGACGCATGCCTCCTGCTGAATGACAGCAGCCTCAGCCAAACCAATGAGCCTGACCCTCTGGCGTTGGAAGCTGAGCATGAGAGCAGCTGTAAGCTGGAACTGATGTCAGCTATCAATGCCAAGGCCAAGTGCTCTTAATACCAACAAGTATTTTCCTGGGAGAGGGGAAAGGTCAATCCTTGATATAAACGCTGGAAATTCAAATTTTTGGATTTCACATTTGATGAAAGTATGATGTTCCAACTGACTTGCCTTGTTTTATCATGGATTGCCTCCCCCTTTCTCTCAGGTAGTCAGTGGGATATTATGTCCATAAACTGACTCCTTCATGTTGTTCTCACCTTCCGTTATGAAACCAGATGCATAAACTATGATCTAGTGGCGTCTGTCTGATGTTTGGCAGGTGAGAGAGAAGGAGGTAGTTTAAGAACATTATAAACCCTTTACATTTCAGAGAAGAAAACATCTGCAAGTAGAAAAAAATTGTAATTGTAATTTAGAGATTACAAGAAAACAAAACAACATTGTGGAGTTGTTTTAGCAGAAAGCACAAGTTAATGTCTGGTAAAAAAAAAAAAAAGCTACAAAGCACTCTTATTGTTTAGATTTTTGTTATTGCTCACTTCCGAAAAGATAACAGTTACTGTCATGAATTTCTTTTTGTTTTGTTCTCACTAATAACATTCATGGGCTATAACATATTTTAGATATTTCAGACTAACATTTGTGCAAGATATCTTAAAAAAATAACTATTGTTTGGATGGAAAGGGATAACTAGAGAGAACTGATGTGCTTAATGACGGTTTCTGTGGGAAGATAACAGTCACCAGGAAATCCTGATGCTAGCACAGCTAGTTGCATTGTGTTGGAAAGTTTAATAAAGATGGTCAATTTACTTTGGAGATTTGTGTTTATGTTCTTGATAAAGAATAAGATAAAAAATATTGTCAAGAGCAGGATCTTGACAATATTAAAGAATATGTAAAAAAAAAAGCATTGCATTTATTTAGGGGTATCAAGGAAAGGGGGACCAATTATGAATGCATTTCAGATTCAAAATACATAGAATTTCAAGGGATGTGAATACTTTAACAGAGCACTGAATGCATTTTTTAAGTTTGAGATTTTGAGCTGTTCTGCTCTGCAATAACAACAGATTGACTGCAGCACTATAGTCTCCACCATTTTACCTCCTTTTCTATTCACTGATGTAATAATTTAGTTTTATCAAGAATATATTTGAGATATGTGTGTAAAAGAAATGATGCCATTCCCCAAATTTATCAGCAGATGGCATCGAGCATCTGCTCAGACTTAAAACCACCGTGTTCGTTCTGTTTACTGACCTGATCTTACCACAGTTGTTATATGCCACACACACAAATACTGTTTAAACAGAGCCTCATTTCAGGTCATTACCCAAAGTGACTCATTTTATTTCATTTGGGTCACCTCAGTCTTGCACAAACATGTCACATCAAAATTTATGTGGAAAAAAACACTTTCACGGTAGTTGCAGTGGTGTCGGATGTGACACCACTGCATTTCAGAAAACTGCTACAGGTTTATGGACACAAATCTGTATCATGTAAAGTTGCAGCTTTACATGTTTGTTTTTGATCAACTTAATTGCTGAACATTAGTGAAACCTCTTGAAGAATTTGAGAACTCAGTCAGAAAACCGTCTTCCTGGAATAGCAATTTAGATTAAACATTTTTGTAAATTTAAAAAAATATGAAGTAAAACCATTATAATGCCACATAGGATGAGCATTTTAAGCAAATTTGTTCCATGCAATCACTTAAGCATTGAGATCTATCTGTAAGAGCAGTACCCTGTGTTCAGTGTTATGTAGCTGGACTGCCTATTGGCCTGTATGTCTAAAAAGGTCAACAAGCAACCGGAGGTAATAAATGAGGCAGAGCTTGTGTGGGCGTAATTGGACTGAAGATCCAGGACAGAGGAACGGTGACTTATGGGCAATTACCTGCAATGTCCTGAGACAAAGAGCTGTGAGTGGCCACCTCTCTGATTCAATCAATCCCACACGGAGAAGCGCAGTACACAGCTTCTGTCTTAATTGTCCAATATGCTTTCCCCTCGGAAACCGGGGAAAGCAACCGGTTTTTCCCGCTTAGTTACCCCATCAGAAACAGCGGACAGAGAATCACATACTTGTGAGCTAATTCACATAGAAGGTCCTCTGTATGGCTTGTAAATGTCCAAACATCCACCATTCAGTCATCGTACGCATGCAATACATTCTTCAGGCACAATCTACATCGACTGGACTAGATTTGAACTCCAAAAGGGCATATTTGCATGAAGAACCCTTTTCTGAAACTGTGTGTGAATCTTAGTGCATGCTGCTTGTGTCCTTTTATGAAAGTAACAGTACATAATTTGAAGAGTCCTAAATTGATTGTCAATAAAGATATGTACTACAATTTGTCATTAGATTGACTGAGACTTAAAAGTGCCTTAAATGGCCCTTGTACCTTGGCAGTGTTTAAGCCTGCGTCATGACTGAGGTCTTTGACACACCGGGGCTTGTCATTCATGGAAATAAAAAGAACTGAGACAAGTATAAAAATGACATTCAGTTATATTCAGTAAAGGCTTGGTATTTATGAAGCAGCCATTTTTGTAAATATTTCTTACATTGTTTACACTGTTTTTGGAGTTGGCTTTAATCTCGTTTTACATGTGTACAGTGACAACAACAAATTAAATAAAAATTCAAGATTATGTCAAATTTGATCTTGCATTACAGAGATTAATCAACTTCCCCATTGGCAGCAAAGGATCAGTGAGGACTACACTCTAGAATGGACTATTTTTGAAACATTCTGCAAGTTGCTTTGGATCCAGTTTATGCAGCACCCACTGCAAATTTCATGAATATATGTTTGGAGGAAATTTTTTTTGTCTCCTCTGTTAGGAATTGGTGCAAAGTCAGCAACAAAACTTTTAATCAATATTGCCAACAAAACCTTTAATCAATGTTGCCTTCAAATATGTTTAAATCATTTTTTTAAGAGGCCGAGTTAAAATTTTTTGTTTAAAAGTGAGCTCACAAAATGTCACCTTTAAACTTAGGCTACCCTAAGACACGGGTCTGTATGTTCAAGCTTTTGATCACTGAATCAGCAGTAACCTTCAGAATATACAATGAAGACGTTAAGTCAGCCGAAAACACATATAAATGTTTTCAGCTGAAAACATTTATAAAAAGGACCAATTTTTAAAATTCCACATAAAACTGATCGATTGAATGGAAGCTTTGGGGACACTAAGCTTCCACTGTGGAGCCATTTTAATGTACTACTGCCCCAGAGAAGTGTGGAGAGTCTTTTGGGGACTAATGCAAAAGGCAATTGAATTAGGACAATAAGTAGAAGAGTCAATAAATTAAAAAAACAATTGCACTTTCAAAGGCAATACAATAAGATAAGAATTCAAAGTAGCAAAGAAAAGTGTGTTTATTTAAGATAACCCCCCATAACATTTTAAAGGTTGCAAAAAATGAACAAGATGCTGTTATATTTATTTTATTGAGAACTTATTGATCACACATACAACATCAAAAAGAGAACAAAACAGACAAATCCTCAAGGATCAATACATTTCTTGGCCCTAGGGAAAGCAGCAGTTTTTACACAAGAACATTGGCTCTCGGATGCAAAAAGAAAAAAAAGAACTCGGATGTAAAAAAAAAAAAAGACAAAAAAGGGAGTTAATAAAGCCAGTATCGACCGGTTTATCAACTTAGACTACATTATTATTTTAATTTGCTGTTTGTTTCCAGTTTGCTGGGGGGGTGAATGACATGGCAGAGGGCCTACAGGAAGAAAGACAGAGAGGAGCCATGGAACATTGCAAAAACTAAAGAAAACATTATTTACTCAAATCAGTACTTGGCTTGAAGTAAATCCTCAAGACGAGTGGAGAATTAAGTACTTTCCTTAACAAACTGAACTGCACAGGGTATGGTGCTGATAGCTTCAAAAACATTAACTGACAACCAAAAATTCCAGCAAAATTACTTCCAGGCTCGAGAGAGTGACAAAAGTCAGCCTTCAACGCAAAGCTGCAGGCCAAACATGCATCATTCCAAAACAATTCACCCTTGTCATAAAGTTCTTTGTGGTCATGAAAAACTGAAATCACACAGCGACACAAACAAGAACAAGAAGTTAAAAAGATGAATATATCACACAACATATGTTTAATATGACTTTATAAATGTTCTGATTTAATCGTCTATAAACTCTATATGAAACATTAAATACTCCATTACAGTACAACAATCTAGTAATCTGTTAGTGTGAAATAAGTTTTTTTTATAAACATAAACTGTATGACAAAATCAAAGCTTATTTATTCCTCAAAGTTTGATTTTTGTGCTGACCAGAAAACATAATGCTATTCTGTAGTAACATAGAAATCACACACTTGATTTGGCAAAAAATACAAAATCTGAATACTATTTCTAAATATCACATATATGCTTTATGTGTACAAAGTGCGTCCTCTAAAGTGTCCTTGACATTTATAACCTTCAAATAACAAACTACCAATTCTGCCACTGTGAAATGAGCGATATGGCAAAAAAGAACAATATATACTTAAGGTAGTAAACATCTGCACAGTTGGCTTGAAGAATAAAAAGCACCTCCTAATTTCTTCATCTTGCCAATGGTATTACAAACACTGCTTAAAACTTTTCCTCAGTTTTATGATTGCATTGTGTATTCCAGTTACACATTCACAGTTTTACCTAAAAAAAGAAGTCCTTCAATCTCTGTTCTTGCTACGTGAACATAATGAGAGCCTTCTGTGAACACTGGACACTGTGACAGACAAGATGCCTAAACAAAACCTGCACTTTACTATCACAAAACACTGATTACTGCTCTTTCTTGACATGAACTCAGCCATGAAAAAACTGAGTAAAAGAGAAATACATGCACCAAGCAGCATCACCGTGTAAAAGTATCATCCTCGACATAAACCTTTATATTTGCACAGCACTAGCAAATACATTAAGACATTTTGCGACAGCACAAATTTTGCTGGTATCATCCGCGTAATGGCAGGAGCAGCAGAGAACTGAGTATTTCTGAAAGAGAAATGGCATATAGTCATCAAATTCACATTTTAAACCTCTCTTTGTAGATCCGATTGATACAAAAAAAAAACTACATTGATCCATATATTCAGAATATTTACATTCAGAAAGGCAAGAAAGCAGCATAAATCACAGACTGGTTGTGTTTTTTTTTTTTTGTTTTTTTTTTTTTTGCACTGTTAGGAAAGTTTTGTTCCAGGTGCAGGTTAATAAATTTGGAAGTCATTAAAAATTTATATTTTTACTATAATTTAGTTCAAATGTGTTTGTCATTTTGAGGCTATCAGTCCTGATGTTTTTTTGTCTTGGCACAAAGCAATGTTGATCGGTTAGCCACTAAAATAAGATGCAGATGTTACATTAGTGCTCATATTATGTTTGCGATGAACGTGTTGAATCATCAAGTCAGGACTTGGAATGAAACATAAGAGGCATCTGATTTCTTTTCAAGAATCCCATTAGGAGTAGAACAGAGGCTGATATAGCCTTTATTGTGGGGGAATTACTACTTTCAACATTATTTGTGAAAACAAATAGAAGATCCTGTATTAGGCAGAATATTCTTTATAAACACAGTCTTAAATATTTTATCTACAAAAAGCCTGAAGCTAAGCAAACAAGATTCCAATTTGTTGAGTGTTGCTTTTTATAAATGCTAAGCTCAAAATATGCTAAGTATTTTGAATTTGAAAATTGTAATAAATTGTCAAATAATTTTCAGCATACAAAATGAAAATCTTTTTTTCTTAAATGGAAACATTAAGCACAGTATCTTATTATAATAGGGAATGTTCTTTTATGTTCTGTGCTAACATACACATGCATGCATGTTTTGTGTCGATTTTTAACTGTTTCTTGTCACAGAGAACATATAAACCAATTCATCTATACATAGCAAACAGAGGTACCTTTTGTTAACTGATATGCAGAAATCTAAACCACATTAGTATTGTACCATAGCAATTAAACAAACCATAATACTACAATAGGCATAATTTGTTACATAGTGAATGTGGCAGATAAGTATTGTGCAAGCTCGTAACATCTTTAGTACATTTTCACAGTCAACTTATTCCAGTTGCTGTCTCTGAAATGACAATGTAGAACAAAGTTCGTCTTCAGAAAACTTAAAATGCAACAATTTCATAACATGTATGTCCTCTTTTGTTAAATGAACCAAAACAATGTACTGTCAAGCAACTTTGGCCTGCTGCTGGTTCTGTGACACATGTTGAACCACCTTTTGCCTTCAATTAGGGCAGAAAACTGCCCAATGAAAACCAGGATATCAAATAATATTTGAATATTGTTAGGTTACCACAAAATAATATTTCAGGTTGAAGTCAAGCAGCACCCTACTGCCATGCTACCACACTCCTATTCAGCCACTTTGCTACTGCTGTCGGAATCAAATCTAAACGACATTTGATAACAAACATCCTAATTCAGGAATACAGGAGAGGCTTCTGCACCACCATCATCAGATTCAAACTTGCTGTGGATGAGGAAAATACTTTGTATTAAAGCAGATAACTTTCATCAGCTTATCTGCATCATCATTATCATATTATCTACAGGTCCCATAAAATAGCAGAGTGCGCTATTTTGTCCCACATTCTAACTGATTTGCACTACTCTTTAGCTGGGACACCTACAAAAAAAATAATAAAAAGAATTATATTGTTATATGGTACAAGACTGTGCACGTTTTTCTTCACATCTCAGCAATAGTTACACAGGACATTTGAGGCATGGAGTAAACAGCTAAGGTACTCTCAAGCTCTATCCACTAATGGGATGTTACTCTCATGCTATTGCCCTGGTGCAGTGTGAAGAGGGACTCTGCCTGGGCAAAAGGTTGGTTTCCACATGTAAGGAAAATCTGAGTAAATAAACCCTTACTGTCTACAGTCAGTGACTAAAGTTTTGTGTTGATGTGAAGCTATTGTTTAACTGCATACTTTTTTGTTAAAAGTAACTTTGACAGTGAAACAAGTCCAACAAAATCTATTCAAATTAATCTTGGAATTATTAAGTCAAGTATTTTAGTTTCCCTTTCATGTAATGCATTCCTGATCAAAAACCTAGTGACCCTTAAGAAACTTAGTGGTCACCCTAACTTTGGTTTAATTGTTGACATTTGGTGTAGCTAAAACCAATGACTATAAAAGATAAAACTTTTATTTTCTTAAAGAAACAAAGACAGAGATTCAAATCTGCATCGCTTTGTTCAAACTTTTCGTGTTTTGTATAAAAATATATCTGTTGTGAAGTACTATCAGTATAACATGGTGAAATAGGAAACTTTGGAATATAGTAAATGTGATAGGCATTAAACCTCAAAAAGACAAGTACTGTCAAAGCCAAATTACTGTGTAGTTAGAACATGACTACTGCCTCTTTCTCTTCTCATCCTCACTGATATTCTGACTTCACATTCAATATTAAGACTATAAGGCAATCTAAGGCAATTTTTCACACATACTGTATATATGGATATTTTTCCACTTACTACAATCATGCATTGATGCAAACTTTGCATTTGCTTGTGATGTTTTTGTGATGTTATTAACCTCAGTGAGTTTCAGCCAAAAATTCAGCAATTAAGTGGGGACTAATAAAAGAGTAGTTTTTAGTGCATCTCAATAAATTACTATATTGTTAAGAAGTTAATTTGTTTCAGCAATTCAATTTAAGTGTAACTCATATATTATGTACATTTATTACACACAGAGACATATATATTGCATTTGTTTCTCATGTTCTGATTAAAAGCAATGACAAGCCAAAGTTTAGGTTGCAAAGAAATGATTACATCAGGCTAATAAATTATGAAATTATAGAATACTAACATTTTCAGGGAAACCAGATTTTTGACTTGTAGTAGCTATAAGACATAATCATCAAAATTGACAGAAACAAATGCTTGATCAATATTCTGTCAAATCAAACTTTTCCATTTTTTACATTTACTTCTTAATTAGAATTGCTGAAAAAAACCCATTTTCTATTAGATTTTAATTTGTTGAGATGTACCTGCATATCTCTCCTTGCATATCTCTCCTTGGTAATAAGTGTGTGGTTAATTCACACACTTATTCATCCAGTGTCCTGCAGGTTTTTAAGATTTTTTTGGTTGTTACCAGGAATCAGGTAGGGTAACTTCATACTGACATCCTGTCCAATAAGCCTGTACCTGTAGTTAAGGTCTGATGGTCCTGTCCACTCATGGTGTGAGATTCCCCAGCAGGTCTGGGGTGACGTACCCTACGGGCATTGGGACTTTGAGAGGATGCTGTGGCTGGCACAAAGAGGGAGATTGGCTGGGAGGCGGGTTAAGGAGCAGACTGCGATGCGTGTCCAACTCCTGCACTACTGTGTAGTCTGCAACAGGAATAAAGAGCTGAGGCTGGGAAGGCTCGGGGAGAATGTACGGGGACTCGTTGGTGTCTCCCGTGGCTGCAGGTTTGGTCTCCATTGGCTGAGGCTGTATGGTTTGGTACCCTGCCCCAGGCACCGAAGTGCTGGGAGGAGTGCTGGTCTGCTGGATGTTGTTCTCGGTGGTGTCGCCGCTTCCCTCTGGAACCACTACAAACAGCTGAAACTGGGGCTCATTTCTCTTCTGCTCCTTGATGCCCTCAACATCTTCATTTTGCTTTCCTACTTTCTGTGTTTCCCTCTCTGAACTTGAGGTGTTCTCCTGGATTTTGGGTTGTTGCCCAGGGGACAGCACAACCCCACCAGATGCCATGACATTGCTGACCTGGGCATATAAGTCTGTGTTGATCCAAGTCTGTGGTCCCCCGATTTGAGTTTGGATGAGGGGCTTTTCACCTGTCTCTGAAGCTGGGGCATCCAGGCAGGTTTCGTTGTCCTCAGGTTGACCCGGCAGCAGGGATGCCATGAGCCTCTGAGTGTCATGTTCCGGCAGGTCTGTGTCGTAACAGCTGGCCCGGCCTGAGTCATCGTCAGGGTGGCTAAATGAGAAACCCGAGGTGAAAACAATGAGGGAATAATTTCAAATCTGTGATACCAGTTAGCATGAAAATAATCCATTCATCTGAAAACTTTTAAATTACCTAATGGTGCTGAAACCCTCTGGATTCCTGTGTGGGAGACCAAGGAGCCTCTGAGTGTCTGAATTACAGTTGCCTTCCTTATCTCCACCTTGTGCATCCTCCTCATCCACCTCAATGAACTCCACCCATGGCTCTTCTTGGTAGAAATCTGCTGCATAGGCTGGCAGGCCATCCGCACCCCCACTATTCAGGATAAAATTCAACTCCTCCAGTTTCCCCGTCTACAAAAGATATAAAATATTGACAAAAGCTGTTAAAGCTGCAGTATATAACATTTTTACTTGATATTTATCCTGCAAAGACATAATGATAATTTTACCAAATGTGCAGAAAAGATATGTTTTAGAAAATGTAAATGCTCGAGCTTTGAGAGCAATCTTTTTCACTTTAGAAATTATAGCCGACATATAGGCTCAGTGTTGCATATCATTCATTTTATTCCCATGTAGTTTTTCTCTTGTTCGAAGGTGGAATCTGTGGAATATCATGATATACCACATCATGGTATATCATTTATTTCAAAACTTATCCTATTTTCCGACTTTGACTTTCTTTGTATTTATGCATGAGTAAATTTGTATCAAAGTAACAACAAAGAGAAAATTATGCAGCACTTTAAATACAGTGATCCATCTATCCATCCATCCATGTTGGAAAAAGGAAAACAGACTTAAACTGAAAGAGTAAAAAAAGGAAAACACAAGAAAACATGCAATACCTTTAACAATTCTGAATCAATGCCTTTGATTTTGGGTACAGGAACAGGTGGCAAGAGAATCATCATTATTCTGAAATAACAGAAGAATGTGACAAAGTTAATAATGTTGACAGGAGCATTTTATAACAAGGGTGACTTTTTTTATTTGGATTGGTGAGTGCAGTTCATGATTTATACCTACAGGAAAACTTTTTAATAAAAACATCTTAATATTGCTCATAAAGTATTCTTGAACACTTCTAAGGTGAAAGCAGAAGTAGAGAAGGTTCTTACCTTTGCTGCTGAGAAATGATTATCATCATGATGATAATCAGGACCCCCACAACCCCAAAAATGAGAACCAAAGTGAATGGGACAGTAAAATCTGAAAACAAAATGCAGCATAATTTCTGATTAAATTCCTTATACTTTATTTTTGTGAATTTAGTAACTTAACAAGTAATAAGGCAGGTATGCATTAATTAAAGAAGAATGGCTCCCTCACCTTCACTGGGAATTTCTGTAACTTCAATGAAGATGGAGTCACTGAACTCTCCGAACTTCACAAAGGCCTGCATCCTGGAGCGGATGTGCACTTCGTACTCTTTTCCTATTTGCAGGCCATAGATCGTCTGCTGGGTGTGCGGCTGAATCTCCAGCTGAAAATGGAAATTTCAAAGAACTCTTTAGCGCATCTTAGCAGAGCAGACAAATGTAATGACACATGCAGGGAGAAAATAAACACTGTGGCTAACTTGACACAGCACAATGTGCCAAGAGTTCCTTACTTATTTTTGGTACCCGTAACTATGACCTTTTCAAAGGTGGCAGGACTGCCCAGGCCTTTCACATAAATATGATAGAAGACATGTTGGCATATTAGAGCCATCTGTTGCTATTTTGAAGTTTGCATTTGTCAAACCGGGTGGTCAGGCAATAATAAACAAGCCTATACAAGGTCCCATGCCCTCTGACCCACAAATCCCTCCCTTCTCTTCCTTCAGAGAGTTTGTTTTCACAGAGGGTCCTGCTCCTGCTTCAGAGGCTTGCCAACAAAGTGCATTTCAGCCACAAGAGTTCAGGAGGGAGTCCAGACAGTGGAAAGGAAAGAAAACATGGTGTCTCTACAACCTACCAAGAGTTTACTTTCAAAAAGATGTGTAAGTGGTTTAATTTGTGCAATCTTTCGGGTGTTTTGTAAAGTCAGACAGAAAGTTTGACGGAAAAACATACTGCTTCCCAGTTGGTGGCGTTCCTCTCTCTGTACTGGATTTCATACTCAATGCGCATCCAGCCCAAGCCAACGTCTGCAGAGGGCGGGGGCTTCCAGCTGACTAAGACATCGTAATTGAGGCCAGAGGGGCTTATGTTCAGCAGGGTCCAGTTTAAAGACACGGGCTGGTCAGGACGCACTGTAAGAGGGGGAAAGGGGCAAAAGTTTAAATGTGAACATGAGAGAAAACATGCAGCTGTTTACATCTTTCGATTTCACTGCACTCTCTTGTTTGCACTCTAAAATACTGCTGTGCAGGAATGTTTACGGCATTAGAACATGACTTTTGCACTGTGATGATATTTTGAGATCTTTCAAATTAGCAAAACTAATATGCTTTCCATTAGCAGAAGGTTTTAGGAGACCAGTACAGCAAAAAACGCAGCCCTTTTACAATGTGGTATTTTAGTGGCATTAACAGAAACACTGACAATGGCAAAAAATGTAACTCACAAAATATGTACATTTATAAAAAAGTGTGTAGAGGAGGAGATTCTTGATGTATCTAAGTTTGTCTGGCATGCTGTATTGAAAATAAATATTTTAGGTTTTGTTTTTCATTTTGGCCTTTTGGTTAGATAAAACATTTTGACCAGTGCTTTTAATTTGTCTGTCAAGTTCCCATGAATCACAGGGTGCTGGTTTCGGTCTTTATCTCCACTGTCTGGCAGACAGTTAGTTTATCTGATGTTTGTTTCAGCCAGCAGCAAAGGGCTTTTTTTTCTTGGCACGCAGACTTTCAGACTAATGAAGGTTCCAGTAAATTCTGTGGTGACGACTAAAGCCTTTTTTGAAGACCAGTTTCAAAATTCCTGCTTAAAATTTTGCACAATTTGAAATATAAATCAAGAATATTAAAAAAGTATTTCGTTAAGAAATCTGAGATCACTGTAAGTTTCTTGCCAGATATACATTTTTTTGGGAAAAAAAGTGCTTAAGTCCTTGCAGAGATGTTGAGATCTTGTTAGTTGGTATAGTGACACCCCATATGTTAAAGATTAAATGTTACATACTTTCTTAACATATGTGATTAGTTTTCTCTTGCCAAAAAATGTGAGGTGGGTGATAAACTGTTTTGAAAATGTATTTTCCCAGAACGTCCAAATTTCAACAATTCAGATATAAAGATGGACATCAACATGGAAAAGAAAATAAAGTCAAAGTCAACATGAAAATTAGTGATGTTTTTAATGTGACTCTTTTAAATAAGATGTTGAACCCCTTAATAATGCCACCACTGTCTAGAATACATACAATTGTTAGAATCTTCCATAGTGCTACATTACCAATAATACATAAGTTGCTTGTCAAACATAAAGACTTTATTTCTATAAAATAGGTCTGGTATGGCATTGAGTTTTATTAGTATATGCTGCGCATTAAAAAAGCTTGTAAGGAAGCTAAATGCCCACATACATATCTGAACCTCAGATCGGTTCTCCTTCAAGGACAGAAATGCTGATTTTAAATGATATGACAAAGCCACTTTGAAGTCCCTCAATACCTTGCCTCCAAAAAACAATCCTGATTACAGTTTTTTGTCATCAACAAAAATATCTACTTCAGCTCTGGAGATGATTTTTCTAGATGATTTTGTTTGTAATAAAGACAAACAAACAATCAAAAAAAAAAGTACTTGTGGAGACAGATTGACTACAAACCTATATTTTCCACTGTGAAGCAGTCGTCCTCATTGAAATAGGTGACGTTTTGGCCACGAAGCTGAATGCAGTAGGGGGTCCAAACGGAAGTATGGTTGGCATCAAAGAAGCACTCTCTGTTTTCATGGATGTACTCAGGACATTCCTTCCATTCACTGGTGGGGGAACTATACAGGAGAAAATGAAGATAAAAAGAAGAAAGGGTAGCTGTAAAGTAAAGTTTTATAACATGCACATATAAATCAGTGTTCAAGCTGCACTCACTCTTTCTTTAGATAAAATACTTTCAATGCTCCAGGAGAAGACAGGTTTTGGAGGCTGCCTGGACTCCACCAGCAGCGGAAAGACTCCTGGTCCCTTGAGATGCAGTCTGTGAAGTGAGGTCCAAGGGTGGCTGTAAAATCAGCGTGAAAAAAAAAAAGAAAAAAAGACAGTGTCAGAAAGGTTGGTGGTTTATTCATTAAAAAAAAAATAGTTCAGAAATCTCACAATAAAATTAAATGTTACTGGAACCTAAATTATGCAAGACTTTCCAAAGAGTCACTATATACGCTGATGGTTGGAGCCAGTATGGAAGTGATCCATACTGGCTTCCCCTGCATAGGCATTGGAGGCTATACAACTAAATAAAGCCTAAAGAAAGAGGCAAATATTAACAAACGCAAATAGTGAAGCTAAACTGAAGTTGACAACTGGAGCAGAAAAATGTAGGAACCCATATCAGCTACCCTGCTATAGTAGATATTTAGCCATAAATACAAACATAAATATTATGCAAAACTACCAGAAGTAAACAAATTTGCACCCTGATATACTCTTGTTCACACAGTAAAGAAGTGTTTTGTAAGCGCCAGATCCATGTTAGATTTGAAGCCCTATTTATTTTAGTATAGAACAAAATCAAATTGACAGGCAAATGGAAGTACACAGCCTATTATAAAAGGATTATCTTTTATAATAAAGATAAGCCTATGACACAACTTATGGTAAAGATTTCCTGAAAGTAAAGTAAATTGTTACAGATTTCTCAAACAGGAAAGCGACAAATTTAAATTCATTTAGTTTTCAAAAGACCCATTTATTGGTTTTTTCCCTAATAAGTTAATTAAATATTGTGATATTGTAATTAATCATATTTGCTCTTAAGTAGAAAAGGCCCTGTGACTCCAACAATGTTGCTGCAATATAGAAAATGGCACTGAGTATTCAATATTTACATAAGAAACACCAATTTAGAATGCTTCTTTGCATGCCATGTCGTTCTTAATGTGAAAGTGACATATCAGAATATTTCTTTCCTTTGACATGCTGGCATTTGGACTGTACATCAGCATCTTGTTTTCAGTGACTGAGGAAAGCCAACCAGCATCTGATGAAATATATGATGAGGCAAACAGTAGGTGAAATGAGCAGAACGCAGATGGTGAATCTACCCTCCAAACATGGATGTGTAGGAATACAAACTGCTGATCTGTGAGCAGGATCAAATTTCAGTCACCAGCCCTTGATCCGTCCACACAGACCTTGAGGTCCTTACTCAGCCTCTTTCATCTCTCCCTTGGCACCTCATCACTCACCATCAACAATCTTCTACCCGCTCCTGCCAGAGAACCAGTTTCTCATCCAGCTGGGAGTTTCAGGGCTTGGTGCAGCCATAAATAATCTGCTGAGTGTATCATCGATTTCTGCTCTACTCATTCTATGTTCCTTATGCTAACTCTGCGCAGAATTACAAATCACAACTAAAATCGGAACATTAACAAGAAATTAAAGACAGGCTTCTGCAGAACTTGCTCCACGTTTTTGACGTTTTTCAACATAAAACACAAGAAGACGCTAAATTGGGTGCCAGCAGTGTGTTTACACAACAAATATAAACACACAAACACTTTAATCCCTGGGCTTCACAACAAAAACACTCCTCACTAATGTCAGAGTAACCTCAAAATTTATACGCATTCTCCGTTTTCCGTCACGTCATCTTTTTCATGCGGTTCCAAATAGTTTTCAGAATCATACTTTCCTCCCTCGTCCCTACAAATTCCAGCTGGTATCAAGAAAACAGCTTGCAAACAGAGAATGTGTGCAAATGAGGTCTTTTCAACGGAAATGGTTCAGATAGAATAATAAGCATGTTAACATATGCAGAATATGATATTAGGTTTAAATACTTCAAGACAGGTCTACATTATTTTGTGTTACATCACTCTTAACTGTTTGTCCATGGAGAAAATAAGTGAAGGCTCAAACATAAACAATATATTTTTTTAAGTTATCTTGAATGCAGAGGGCCAAATGGTTCAGTTATTCATAAGAATCTGTTTTCATTTTTTTAAGTCAGCAGTGTGCCCATATGGTATGTAGTATGCCAGAGAAAAAACGTTGTGCAACAACACCTGAAAAAACGTACAAAATAAAGCTTCAATCTAATTTCCAATGCCTCTCTAATTGGACCCCTTCATTAAATTAGTTTATTATACTGCATTCGTCATCCTGTTTTGGAGTCAAAAAACTAACAAATCTTAAAAGTATGAAACACAAAAATGTTATTTTACACCTTTCAGACACAAAAATAACTTTTTGAGTCGCACCTTCTGTAACGGGAAGTATGTCAATTAGTGGGTGCATCAACAACGTCTACTGGTATGTTAAAGGAATTTTTGTGATTGGTGGCACAGAAAAAAGAAAAAAAAACAGCATTTTCTTCAAGTATGTAATTTCTACACCCTTCCTTCAGTGATATTAGGTCTGCAAGTACCAGGCTGAAAGACATCCGACCCCACGAAGTTTCCACATACAATTCAATTTTGGCATGTGGAAAAATTCTTCCTCCAAATATGTGAGCAAAAACATCCAAAAAGTTCAGCTTTGCCTCATCTTGCCATATTATATTTTCCTAGTATCATTGGCTTGTCCAAATCATCTGCACAAATTTTAAACAAGATTCCAACATGCTTTTTTCTTCAGCAGTGGAGCCTTGCACAGAGTGTATGCAGAGGTCATTACAGTTAAATGCATTTTAATATGAAAAAAAATTGATCTGTTATTTCCAGGTCTTACTGGAGCTGTGTGTGTTCTCCTTAATCAGAACAAATCTTCTGATTATTCTTTTAGCTTTCCCAGAAATCCAACAGTTTCAGGCTGTGGTTGGTTTCTGATAAAATTATGTCGCATGTCATCCTTTACAATAACGTATTGTAAAGGATGACAATATGTTATTGTTTCTACTACATTGTCAATGATGAAGCACTTACACTGGACAGGAAAGAGTGTTTGGCTTTTCCCAATAATTATGCATGAGGAATGCCTTTTTTACATTTCAAGAAGTAAGAAACAATTATGATGTGAAGTCAAATTTCTTTTAAGTCATGCTTATTGCAGTATATGTACAGCATTGTCATGACAACTGAATGTAATACATGTACTTATGTGCAATAACGCGGGACTAGGTGCCTGTAAATGTAAAATATATAATGTCTAGCCATTGCCTTCCTATTCAATTCTAATAGCTCTTCACTGCTCTGCCTGGGCTTTCTCCCATTGACATGGATTTCTCCAGCAAAGTCTCAACCGGGCCAATCAGCAAACAGCAAGAGAAGAATTGCTGTTTGCCTGTAGTTTTAGCAATGGCAGCAGAGGAAGTGAACGAAGCCATTCAGTTGCATCAAACTGCCACATTGCATACATAACAGTTAAATATTAGCGATTAGGTAAAATTTAAAACTTCAACAGAGTTCACGTCTTGAGGAAGCAATCATTTCACAATAGCCGGGAGTCCAGACCCTTTGTACGAAGGGCTGGTTTTTACCAGCCTTCATAAAAGCCCTTTTTACGATCTCCAGTGTGGATGACTTATGCTGATAGTGCCGTTTTCTGTGAATTTTTGTCACTTGAAGCATTTTCTTTGTGCTCCCTTTTTTCCCCTCTGTCTTGTTTTTGTCTTGATTTTGATCACAGAAATGATTTAAAATATTTTAAGATACAAGAAAAGAAAAAGCTGGAAAAGAAGATAGATCTTCTTCTTTTACAGCTTGCTTATTATTTAAAAAATAACCAAGTCTGTATGTGTGAACTACTGCAGTAAGGCTTTGGGAGCCTGTTTTCATTTTTTCATGTCAGCTGGATGTCAGTAAAATCTGAAACATACCAGAGATAACAGGTTATGTAACAACACATGGAATAATCTTCAATAACATCTGAGTCTAATTTTCAAACCCTCTCTTCTCAATTTTGAACCTCTTTATTGTGTTGTTTCTCCAGACTGTTAATTAATTTTCATGTAAAGGTTGAAGTTTTTATCTATATTTTCATTCTTATTTATTTTTTACTTCTTTTCACCTTTGACCAGCAAAATGCAGGACTATTTGTGAGTTTAGTTAATGGAAAGCTAAATTCTGTCTCCTCTTGCTAGTTGCTATTAAATGATCCACAGCTGAAAGCCCTCAACTGAGAGAAGACAGCTAATTCTGTGCAGAAGTGTGTGTATGTGTGTGCACCCCCCCAGCCCCCCATCCTGTCTGTCCATATGTTTCTGGACAGAGAGAAACATATGGGTGTTATTCGCAGGCTTCAATAACAGCCTGCGAAGCCTGTTATTGAAGGCTTCGCAGGCTGCACAGACTGATAAACAGCTCTCAGCCTCTCCTCCAGCCATCACCAGGCCATGTAGAGGAGCTAGGAAACCATCCACTGAAAATGATGCAGGCCACAGCCATTAAGGCTTAAAAATCCAGTAAGAAGACAAAATTGGGCTTTCAGTACCAGTACTATTTGGGAAACAGTACTAAAAAGATGGAGAAATGTGAATGGACTTATCCTACTTTATAATGTTTACCTGTAATGAGGGACTGAATGGGGCTATGACACGTTGGAATACTCACATTTCCACCTCATTTGCAGAATTAAGCTGAAGTTGGAAGATAAGGGAAGAGATGGAGAGCAAAGGTCAGACTGACAATGTGTGCACAATGATAGCCAAATGTAAGAAAGCATGAGATTGCAAAAGAGAATAAATTTGTCATTGTGCAACACTCACTGGAACACTAAAACAGAATTATTGATGGTCTGGAATAAAATCCAAGAAACTATTTTGTTCTTAACTTTCATTTCATTGGATCTAAAAATGCAGATCTATGTTGTGCAAGAAATGTTTTTGTTACACTGAATTTTAAACTGTACTTTTAGTTGGTATTTTTTTAAAGTTATTTAAAAAGGTTCACATGAATAACGAATGTGGTTAAGACAATGTATTTAGCCAATAAGGTCACGATTGATCATACGTGAAAACTGATGAAAACTGAAGCCATAAACATAAGATGAAAGTGTAAAACAAAATAAAGCAGAAAGTAGGTTGTTGTTCCTTGACATTTCACACAAGCCTTAAAGTTCAGATAT